ATTTGTACTGAACACAGGGGCTATAGCTAAGTAGTCACATGCATACTAAAAGCTTATTTCTCTGGCTCTGATGGACCAAAAAAAAGGATTCCACGTAAGTAAATTTTCATATGGTAAGGTGTCTTCTTTTAATAAAGTTTTTTAAATTGTATATTATATTTAAAACATAGTATCCTAAATATAATTTAGTCTTTGAGAGAATCCTCTACTTGGCATCTTCTCAGCTGTTGACACAGCTTGTTCTCTCAAATTATCTTCTTCCCGTGGAATTCCTGATGATACTCTCACTTCACTTCTTCCCACTTAGACATTCATTCTCGGTCTCCTCCTCCATTACTTCCAAGAGCTTTGTTCTATCCATGGCCTTCCCTCGCCTCCCTTTCTTTCCTTAGCTTCAACTCAGAGCTCTCCTGAGGTTTATCCGATCCTATTTCAAATGCCAGGGCTTCATCCATTTTCCACAGGCTAATATGATGCTAATTAAAGAGTGTCCCCTCCAGTCCAGCCCCCTATTCTTTTTGATAACTTGACATTTTGGCCTTTTCTAAGGCATCATCTCACAAGTAACAATCCACCTGGTTTCCAGGGCTCTGTATCTCAGTAGCTGGTTCTATACATCATTCTTCATTACTGCTTTGACATCTCACTCCCTTAAATGCCACATACCACCATACACAAGACTTAGTGGGTTTGCGAAAATGCAAATCTCACTTTATTATTCCCTACTTAACACATCTTAAAATCTCTTAAGAAACTCCTATTTTACCTACTCAACATTAATCCCTTATTCAGGGAACTGCCTTTGTCTGGACACCACTCAGGAGATCAGAGGAGGAACAATCATATTCGAGATTAACCATTAACTGGGCTCTGGAACACCTGAGTCAATCACAGTAGACCACTCTCTCTTAGCTACAATGACTGGTCTACAGGACAATGCTCCAATCCAAGTACGTTATTGAGTCCCACACCCAGAGTTTGGGGGCTTGAAAACCAAACTATTGCTACTGGCAAGGGTGAGAGGCAGTCATGTTTCCAGCCACAATAACCAGAAAGATAACAAAGCTGGTATGAGACCTCGCCCTGGTGCACCAAGCCTGGAGGGCAACAGACCGGCATGGAGCAGAGACAAACAAAGGACTGTGGGGCCGGCCCCAATCCCAGCTACCTTGACTCCTTCCCCAAAAGAATGCATTACAAACACAGCACTGAAGACAGTCTAGGGAGAGTGAGGGGTCTGCCCAGACCACAAGGGATCCAATTAGGAGGGAAAGATGCAAAGAGCGAGAGAGAGAGAGAGAGAGAGAGAGAGAGAGAGAGAGAGAGAGAGAGAGAGAGAGAGAGAGAGAGAGAGAGAGAGAGAGAGAGAGAGAGAGTGAAAGCGAGAGAGAACCGCATCCTGGCCCACCAACCTCGAGGAGGACATTCAGGCTTGGAGTAGCCAATGCAGAGAGGACCACAGGGCCGGCCCCACCACGAGACACGATGTCCCCTCACTGACCCACCGCACTGCAGAAGACAGCACTGGAGACACAGGGCGGGAATGTGCCCAGTCTGACCCCCCACCCCCCACACACTGGGGCAAAACATGAAGGAAGCGCAACAGAGCAGCAAAGGAAACAACAACGAAGTTCCTGAGGAATGCCGAAAATATACTTCTGACTTGGGGGCAGGGCTTGGCACCTATCAGACCTGATCGGAAAGGGTCAGCAGACAGACCTGGAACTATTTATAAGGTTGTTTGTTTTGTTTTGTTTGGGGGGGTCCATATGTATAAGTTAGGCAGGATAGTTTACAAACCCAAGGAGAAAACAAAGGGACCGACGGTTTCAGGAGAACATGGAAGAGGAGAGATGGAGGAAAGAGAGAGGGGACCCAACAAAGCCAAGGACAATGGAACAACAAGGGATCTAAAATCGATGGCGAGGAGGGTGCAGAACACCTGCTGGGGTTTGACCAAGTGCAGTGTAGCTGAGAGGAGTTATTGAGAGCCGAATGAAGGTGGAACATGGCAGTGGGACAGGAAGAAAGTAAAAGGAAACAAAGGAAAGAACTAGGAGGCAAAAGACATTTATAGAGGAATAAATACAGGTATGTATATATGTAAATATAGTGATACATAACGATAGGGATATAGGTCTATGTGCATATATCTATATGTTAAGTATTAAGGTAGCACACAGACACTGGGCATCTACTCAAGTCCTCCCTCAATGCAAAAATACTTTGTTGTAAGAACCAGGCATTCTGTGATGCTCACCTTCCCAGCGCGATCACTGAAGACAAATGGGTGCATAAGCAAATATGGTGAAGAAAGCTGATGCTGCCCAGCTATCAAAAGATACAGTGCCTGGGGTCTTAAAGGTTTAAGTTAATTAAACAAGTGGCCATCTAGCAGGGAAACACCAATGCCAACATAGAAAAAGCACACCAGTCTGTGTGATCACAAGGTATTGACAGATCAAGTATCAGGCATCAGAAGACCCAAAACAAACAATCATATTGATGGGAAAGAAGGGAATTGAAGTGGAAACCCAAGGCCCATCTGTAGACAACTGGACATCCACTCACAGAGGGGTCACAAGGAAGAGACGAGTCAACCAGGGTGCAGTAAAGCACCAACGAAACACACACTATTCCTCTAGTTCTTTAATGCCCCCCCACCTGCCCCTGCACCACTATCATGACCCCAGTTCTACCTTACAAATCTGACACCAGAGCATATACTCTGGTAAATAAGAGCTCTGGACACACAGAAACCAGGACAGATAAACCCCTCAGGTTCATTAATGGGAACAGTGATACCATGAGGGTAGGGGGAAAGTGGGGGGAGAAAGGGGAACTTATAG